ATTTGTATTTTGTGCCTTGGTTTAATTCTCACATGATGTTATTTTCCTATTTGAATCAGTTCTTGTCTCAGAACTTAAAATAATGAAGATAAATGAACCTGTTCCTGGATTCTCTTTGGATTTTTAGGTCAAAGGTCAAACTGAGTCTAAACTGATGAATATTTAATGAGCTCAGATGTAAACAATGATTTATTCAAACTGATTGTTTATTTATGATGTCACTCCGTCCCCTCCTCCACCAATGAGCATCGAGAAAACACAGCTGACTGGATTCACTGCAGATGAGAACCAGAATCAGAACCAGAACCAGAAACATATACAGATCCGGAGCATGAACCAGAACCAGAACCAGAAACAGAACCAGAGCATGAACCAGAAACAGAACCAGAACCAGAACCAGAACCAGAACCAGAACCAGAACCAGATCCAGGACAGTCGGACTAAAAACCAGAGTTAAACCAAGGTTAACTTTTAATATAATTTCTATAAAACCTTTCACAGATATTTTTATTTTGTGTCTGCTGAGGTTAACTTAGTTAACTTAGTTAAATAACTTAGTTAAATAACTTAGTTAACTTAATTAAATAACTTAGTTAACCTCAGTCGGTTAAGGGTTAGGGTTAAGAATCTTCCTGATGTTTGAAGGGAAATTAAACTGATTTCTTGTTTTTAAACATTTGATGTTTATAATCAAACAATCTGATAAACAACAAAAACTAACTGTTGATTGATTGATTGATTGGTTGATTGGTTGATTGATTGATTGATTGGTTGATTGATTGATTGATTGACTGGTTGATTGATTGATTGATTGACTGACTGATTGATTGATTGACTGATTGATTGATTGGGGTATTGTTGATCATGTTGTTGTAATACATCAGATGATCCTTGTTCTCGCTCTGACATCTGAACCTGAACAACAAGTCGAGCAGCCGACGACTTCACTTCTCTTCAAGACTGAAACTCACAAACTATCGGCCAATCAGCTGCAGCTGCTCGGAGACATGGAGACAAACTGGTCCAACCGGAAACATGAACGAAGGAATGACAAGTCCAGAGAGACTGAGACAGAGAGAAGACGACAGAGAGACAGAGAGAGGACAACAGAGACAGAGAGACAGAGAGAGGACGACAGAGGAGACGTCTCCAGTGGACAGTTTGACCTCTGACATCGGGATCTAACTTTATTCGTGGTGATTTTAAAGATGAAGAAGTCTGCAGTGGTTAATTCCAGAGAACGACTGAGAGGAATCTGAACATAAAGTCAAAAGCTTTAAAACAGGTTTGACAGAACAGGAAGCTGAAGATGAGTCATGAGGAGGAAACTGTTCTGGACGAATCTGAAACAAGAGACGAAGAATCAAAAGAAAACCACAAAGTCAAAGACGTGAAGGAGAAACTTCAGCTTGAGAAGAAGACGATCAGCCCGCTGACGCTCCTCAGAGACGACCTGAGCCAGTTTAAAGACGAAGTGCTGAAGGTGTTAAAGGACACGAGGGCGGAGCATGAGGCCCGTCCGTCCAATCAGACGACAAATAAAGTGACCAGCAGCACGCTCGGTCTCCTCAGAGACGACCTGAGCCAGTTAAAAGACGACGTGAGCAGCATCTTCAGCATCAACTCGTCCAGAGACAAAGACGTGAAATCTGCAGATCCTAAAAGCAGTCAGGCAGCGGAGAGGAGCCTCAACCCTCTGAGCCTCATCAAAGAGGACATCTCTAATGTCTTCAGACTCGCTCTGTCCAAGGACAAAGAGAACAGAGACCTCACCGGTCAGGAAGACAAATTAAAAGTCCTGAGAGCTGAGAGAACCGAAGACTCCTTTATGAGGCTGTTCAGAAGAGACCAAACTCTGAGGAGCTGTGAAAGAGCAGAGGACGGACAGGAACATAAAAAGACGACTTCGGAAAAGAACGAGAGACAAACAGACGATGGTTTCACAGGAAAACTCTCAGACAACAAAGAAGAGATCGACACGATGAATCAATCAGAGGAAAGCGATGAGGACGATGAGTCTGAGGAGAAATCGACGACACATCAAACTGAGGAGACGAGATCACAGACAGGTACAACCACAGGTTCCGAGGAGCTGCTGGACGTCCTCCACACTCAGCAGAGGATCCAGAGTTTCTCTTTCCCACCTGGTTTCATCTGATTCAACAAAAATGGATCAATTTTTCTTTCTCTTTTCCTTTTTTCTTTTAATTCATAATCCTCAAGAAAGCCATGACTCATCTTTTC